CATTTTACAAAAAAATATTGTCATCAGAAATTCTAGACTATAAAATTCTACACAACTTTGATATACACTACTTTTTTGTGAAATGTTTATTAAAAACGATATAGAGCATCAGAGTTGCTTATATTTGTAAGAATTCTAAAATTTGTATGTAGATGTTTTAACCAAATTTTATACTTTATCTCTATAATTAAGAGTTTTATAAGAAAAATCTTGAACTTAACGTGGTATAAATCCCCCTACGCCGCTCCCTTACCAAAGGGGATGCATAATAATTCAACTTTCAACCCTTGCTAGTGGGGATAGGTACTTGAATCACTGTGGGATTGTAGGGCTTTCTAATACGTTTGAAACAAAAAAAATTAGGTATCTCCACTTCAGTTGAAAATATATGTAATACGCGTTGTACTCTCTGACTAACTTCACAATCGCCATAAGAGCGTTTAAATATCTATTCCTACCGCGTGGGAGGGGGGGGTAAAACTAAACTGAATGAAGTGAGACAATTTTTTAATTTAAAAAGTATTTTAGAAAGCGCTGCAATCTCACAGTGATTCAAATATCCTCACTAGCAAGGGTTGCAAGTTGAATTATTATGCATCCCCTTTGGTAAGGGTGCAGGGTAAAGGGATTTATACCACGATAAATTCAAGATATTTTCTCATAAAACTCTTAATTATAGACATAAACTATAAAATTTGGTTAAAACATCTACATACAAATTTTAGAATTCTTACAAATATAAGCAACTCTGATGCTCCATACCGTTTTTAATAAACATTTCACAAAAAAGTAGTTTATATCAAAGTTGTGTAGAATTTTATAGTTTTCAATTTACTTTCTAAAGTGAACCATTAAAAAGATATGACTGAAAAACTAAGAAACCAACCAAATTTTAGGGGTTTTGGGGGTGGTACGGGGGAAGCACAAGGGGTGGGAGGTCGAAAACTTAGATTCTTAACCACCGCATGACTGTCTATGACATGCAAAAGAAATTGGAACTACTTCTCATTTTGCAAGTTAAAACCCTCTATTCCCTGGACTATGATAAATAAAACTGCTTCACTCATGTATGCTTGAAATCATGAACGTCATTTGTAATAACCCTGTTCTTCTTCTTATTTTTTAACCTCGTAATAATCCTTGTTCATTATATAATTATGTAATGTTGTGATTGTGTTTGTGTTCAACACTCTCCGATAGTTGCACGAATTGCGAGATCTGTGAATAGAGTCATTCCGTCAAACGCCATATCTGATTTTTTTGCGCATTTCCACAAAAATTTTAAAAAATGCGCTATTGTGGTCACTTTGTCCGTCCTATCGCCCGTCCGTCCGTCCGCTCGTTCGTTGGTACACTACTAGTTCTTTATCTTAAGAGCTATTGTTCTACTTTTTTCGCTATTTGGTTCGTTATGGTGTCCAGGCTTGCACCAAGGAAGGAATTTTTTCTGCGTTTATTGCTAAAAAAGTTATTGTAAAAAAACCAACAAACCGTTTTTTACATGTTCCATAATTTTACACTTTTGTCGTTTATTAACGATCCTAGAGATCGTTTATAATTTTGTATTGCTGTCTGTCTTCTGTCTGTTGGTATGTCCATCTGTTCCTTTGTCTGTCTGTCCCTCTATCTGTCCGTGTGAACGATAACTTTGGTTAGAAATGTCCGATCGCCTTGACATCTCCGTAGTCAAAATTTAGATTTGCGCATGCGCAGTTCCAACTTTCTTATTTAGAAAAGCATTGAAATGAAATTCTTCTTATAAACTGAAATTGAAGTAGCACTTCTAAAATGGATTGCACATTTGCAACGCTATCTTTCATATTTGTGGCCGGATTTTTAAGATTTTAACAGAAGTTGCATCTTACAGATGGGAAATGAATACAAGTGAAAATGCGCTTTTTGTAAATCGTTTACGATTACTTTTTAACTTGTTATATTTTGGTTTGTTACCGTTAGTTGCCTTCTTTCTGTTTTAATTCCAAACTATAATGTGCGAAGGAGGCTACATAAAAGCGGATTCGTCTAATCTATCAATCGTAGATGTAATTATGGTTATGAATTTTTTAAATCGAACCACCACTTTGTAGCGCCGAAATGTGAAGTGTATGGGTAAGCTGACTAGTCAAGTATGCGCGATGGGTGCAATAGGGTCTCAAGGAATCGTGTTAAGTTGTTAAGTTGCGTACGCCCTATTGGTCATGATCGCAAGGGATGCTAAGTAGGGCATCGGAAGTGTTAGATCTCATTGCTAACAAAAAGCGTTCGGGGTTGAGCTTGACCTGCAAATGTATTCGCAGGAAGGGCAATGAGAGACCTAGATCGACGTTACTGATTTATTGGCCGAGGGTCCTAGTCAGAGGGCCGAGGTAGGATATGTATCCTAAATAATATACAGTGAGTTTTTTTTTAATGCGAACATACGCTTTTGTATGCAATGTAATTTCCCTATGCTTGATTAAAAAAAAAACGCATCAATCTATGAGGTGTGCGCGGTTCACATTTCCACCAGCAAAACGCGCAACTTGCGTGGCTATGCCTTTGATGAAAAGAACTCGGTAAGATTTTGTTTAAAGAAGCCATGTGCGGCCATAGCAACTTTAGGATAAAGTTTTCTTAAACTTACGATAACTTGAGCTCACAGGACACGCGTTGATACCACAATTCATTGTGACCAAACCTTTAATTATTTGTAGGTCATGTGCACCTGGTATTCTACTAATTTGATCTATTCAATACATAAATGAAGAATATAAGAAAATAAATAACGAAAACACCTAGCCGATTTCGAAATTAAATTGGACGGCGGTATTTTTAAAAATATGACAGCTGTCAATTGTATCTACTACTCATTTGAACTACTCCATAGATTGCTGATTGATGTGTTTTTTTTAAATCGAACATAGGGAAATTACATTGCATGCAAACCCCTACATATGTTCGCATTTTAAAAAATTCACTGAATGTGCGCGCGGTGTAAATCGCGTTTCAAATAGGTATGAGCTCCACTTTAACCCTTCCATCTCCAACGACGCCTTCGCCCCCAATCGGCAGTCGGAGTGTTCGGAGGTTCAGGAGAGCTCAGCGCTAGTTCGGGGCGAGACTCTCCCCGGAAAGTTACTAATCAATTGGCGATGATCGCGGATGGACCAGTCGCGATGTTTGTTTACAAGACCCTCGCCTCCAAAAGACGACCAGTGAGAGTTAATGCTGCAATGTCACCCCTCCGTCTCTTTTAATTACAAGTTTATCTGGACGTTTTATTGATGTACTTAATCATTTTGGCACAATACAATATTTAAAAAACTTTCGATTCTTCTTTTTGACTTCAGCATCATCATTGTCATTATTAAATTCTTCAATACTCGTAATTGATAATCAAAAATATTCCAGAAATTAGCGTTCGCGCTCGACTGCATGTGGGAGCCTCTGACGTCACGCGGGTTATCTGAGCTATCGCGCGGCCGGCAATGTTTCATAACTATTTGGGGGATCTCAATGGTTTCAGAAAATTTTTATTTTTTGGAAATCGTAATAAAATTATGTAATGTTTTAAGAAAATGTAATTTAAAAAAATGCTAAATGAACTTATTATTTGCCACTAACCGGATTTTTGTAATTTTTATACGGTTTCCGAGATCCCCATGCTATTCATTTTCAATTTTCATATTGAACACATGGTATACGAACCGTGCAAAATTTTCCCGCGAATATTAAACATTTTGATCCGTAATTAATATTTACTGTAAACCTTTCTAATTAAGTGAATAATCCAAGCCTTTTTGACTGTTATCCGTGAAAATTAATAACTTGTTGTTTTAGAAACGTTACGTAATGGGGAAATTTGTTGTTCTCTGAAAGCATTCGCACTATCGCGTGGTCAAGTAGATAAAAAAGTAGCGCGGGTGTTATATTATTTTGGAAAGATTTGAAGATACTCTCGTGAGGATATAAGAAGACAAAACCTCGACAGCGCCGGTGATTTTTTTTCGTGCGACACTTGAACAGCTCGAGGTGTGATTTTTTTAGAACACCGAATAGACTCGCGCGGGGTAAGCAAATTTTGTGACCAAAAAACAGTAGTATAAAGGATTAAATAATCACGAATTTTCAAGTGCCAGGAGTGCAGACTGCATCCAACTAAAACTGAAAAACAAAGGTACCTACTGTTAATTGTTTTGTATTCTGTTGGTATTTGAAGGGTGTCGTAAAATTTCGTTATATTTCAATTATCGAAAAGAATGAACCAGGTCTAAACTATTCCAATAATGTAAATTAGAACGTAAAGAATTTAAATTAGCAAGTCGCCGTACATACAGTCTTTATTTTTTCTGTTAAATTTAATAGTACATTTATTTTTGAAGTAGCTGATAATTTCATTTTCGAAGTTTCCTCATTTAGGTACCTACCAGAATATTTAAAGAAAACCATGCTAAAATCATTTATAAAAGAAACGTTACCTTAGATGTATAACAGTGATCAATTAGGGAAATAACGCAGCAGCCAATTTCGTGGGTTTTATAAATTTTTTGTTTATGGTAAAATAAAATTACCCCATATTTTTAACTACTTGAAAAAAGCGGTGTTATTTTTTGGTGTACCTATATGATAAAACGGAAAACTTTGACTTAATACACTTCACATTAATTTTTTTATTTCCAACCATATTAAGCATATGCTAAGTGGTCTCAGCCTTTCAGGTATAATAATCATAATCGTCGTACCTAATTAAATAGGATGATAAAAATTCCTGATGAAGTAAATTTGCCATAGGGCCGTGATTGATAAGGCCAACTTTGGTTGACGCAGTTTCTTTAGCGAGTTTTATACCGGGTGATCGGAAAGTAGTGCGGACAGTTTGAATTTCCCACAAAACAAAACATTTATAAAGTTGGTAACATACGAAATGTCATTTATTTAAAAGCAGTGGTGGATTAATTTAATGGATCACTAAACAATAATCACAATTAATTAATTAAAAAAAATTAATTTATCAAGCTCAGTTGAACGCTCGGGTTCATGTATTCAAATATCTATTCCAACGTTGCCCGAGCAATAGTCATGCTCATTAAACCATCCCGTCAGGTTCATTTTATTTGCCTACATACAATAAGACGTATCCACGTCTTCTCATAAATTAACGTCATCAACACTGGATGAAAACATTTGGATATCAATGTGTTAAATTTTGTGCCACAATTATGCGATAAGTCTGTAAAAATAACAAATAGGGATGTTATCATTCACATTGTTATACCAACCAACTTCATTAGAGAATTTTCGGAAACCATTTCTTGGGGCTACGTTTTTTTTAACACCTTCGACATCATGGTAAGTAGCACATTTATCGTTGAATTGCAGTAAGCACAACTGAGTCGAATATGAGTATCTTTTAAACATGTACGTCGTGTACGCCTTTCAATTGTGCATCAAAAGATCCCCTTTAAAGCCTTTATGCCTAAAAAGTAAGGTTACATGATCCTTATAAAGTATGTTCTCTTAATTTGCGTACCTTTACGAAATGATGCACGTGCGAAGACCTTTTTAAAAAGAGCTGTTTGCTTTGAAACGCCTGGATCACAGTACGAAGATTAGAAAATAAAATTCACATAAAACACTACGCCAATGGATGACAATTAATGCATAAATAAACCAACTTCTAAACATGTTTGCCAACTCCTTAAGTAAAAAACACTAAAAATTTAAAGCGCCAAATTTAAATTGTCTGCAGTTTTTTTCGATCACCCGGTATTTCGGAAATAATATATATAAGCCTCTGAAACGAATACTCCACGATTAAAATTACTGGGGCAAATTTTCTAACAAATCTTTGCTTATACATTTTATTCATTCATTGCAAAGTAGGTACGATATTCTTTATTTGAGTGTTTTATCAGATATCAGCAGAGCAGCTGTCTTGTATCAATGCAGTGCAATTGTGTCTACGACTCGCGACTGACGAAAGCGTATTTGCTCCGCACGGAAGCAGTAGGTAATAATAGCTGGGGAAGGAAGGAACCAAACCAAATAAACTTGTCGTTTTGGTCTCTGGGCTGTACTACACCGTTTATAATAGGTACGAAGAAAACCACAACGAAAAAGCATCAACTGGAGGCCTAGTGCCCTAGTAGTGGTACAGACGGACAAAGTGCAGGCAATAGCGTTCATTTTCCTTCTGGAAAATTCGCTAGAAACATAAATAAGAAAGTAAAAAATTCCCATACCGGGAATCGAACCCGAGCCTCCTGGGTGAAAGCCAGGTATCCTAGCCACTAGACCATATGGGATACTGTGTACGCATTAACAGTCTGCGGATATTAATACGCATTGTTTTCTAAGGATCATTTTCTTTACCTATGTGAGTTGCCTTGGCTTTGTAAGTGCATATGTTACCGTTTATGTACAGAAAACCGCTAAAGTCAAGATTATCTAGTTAATCTGCAAATCATCTACTTAGTTTGAGTGTTTAAATCTGTGGTTTAAGTCCGTTAAAATGCGAAAAATGCTTATTCTTCGCAGATTACGCCAAGTACTTATGCGTTAAAGTTGATTGCTAAAATTAGCTTTAATTTGGTATACTCAATAAAATCAACCCAATCGTAGTTAAATTGTGAAAAGAAAAATAATTATGTAGGTAGCATGGCGATTCCCTAATATTAAAATTATAAGTTCTACAGCGGCTACCCCATGATACTACAACAACTTGTAGTATCATGGGCTACCCTCACTTTCGCAGATGGCATCAAGAGAGCAGGTACTTTAGGGATTAGACAAGACCACCCGTGGCAGTACCATTGAATTTATAAATTCAATGGCAGTACTAATAAGATCTTGTCTGACGTCCCGTTTATCTGCAATTCGGGTTTGAAGTTTTGACTCCATCTTTACCATCAGTAAGATCTCGTCGGGGGTTACCATATTCCCTTTGTCAGTATCCACCTCCTACATCCCGTTCACCCGCAATTCGCATTTTGTTGGAATTCGTTACAACCCGTCACCAAATAGCCCTTACTTTTTGGGCACTGTTCATTGCTGGGCGACACGAGAAAGAGAGACCGCGATTAGAGCTCTTAAGAAACTTTTAGGCGCCCAAAGTCGTACCCCTCGAAGACGCGTCCTTAGGAAAAAAAAAACAAAATGACACCAACTTGAAAACAATCAGAACAAAGCTGTAGAAGAAAAAAACTGAAAAATCTACAGGTTAGTATTACCAAAGAGTAACCATACTCTTTGGTATTACACCCTAGGGGATGGCGTAGCCCCGTCCCTAAAGTTGTTAATTACACGGCCCCAGTAGGTACATGTAAGTACACGCCTCCTCTATCTACAAGCATTATTCTAAGAGCCCGCATTTACTGCCAGCCAGCCAGTCGGCCAAAATGAGATTAAAAGCTACCTTTTACAAATAAATTTGCAAAAATGCGCTAGTCAAAACCTTTGCACCCGATGGTTAGTGCTCCCTTTGTGCCGATTTGTGCTGGATCGATCTCATTAGCTAGGCAAAGCGCTATCAAACTAACTACCAAAAGATAAATCATCGAAACAGCACATAATTTTTAAATCATAGTTTAGTCTTGAGAGGCGCGTCTCCTAATTAATACAATCATAATAATATACGTCAGGGTCGCTGATAAGTCGGGAAACGATCTATTATCGAGGAAAATATACAAAATATCTATTTAAAACAAGTAGGTATAAATTGTGCACAATTCTTGTGCAGATAAAGCGCATTTTTTAACCGAAATATAGCTTTTGTTTTAACATCACCAATGGATATATTTCTTGCAGACATCTCAATCGCCCTTTGTGAGTACCCTCTTCCGACAATCCTGAGGTATAAGGGATTATACCCGATGACGATAAGAGATCGAGGAGGAGGGCTATGGTTGGTAGAAATTAATTCCTTTCGTTGAGACCTTTCATCAGAGTACCATGAAGGATAAAACGTATTATAGATTATTATGAATCAAGGAGAAGTTGAGTTGAGGGACGCCGATTTGCACTTCCTACATGATCTTAGCGGTTTCGTGAATGCGCAACTTCGCGTCTACACAGGATCAGCATACCAGAAATTGCCCCAAAAAATTAATAGTTCTTGATTACTACGAAAATGAATAACAATTTCCCATAAATAATGCACAATTAAATATATATCTGCGAAAATACCTAAAGGGTGATCTCACCTAACAATTTTACTTCGCATTAAATAAACTTGATCACTCTTTCTGCTCATGTATTAACATGTAATAGCGAATAAAAAACTTGTTTACAATTTGTTTAGAAATTATTCACGTACATGTTTTTTTTTGTGCAAACCCGCAAACGAATATAATAGGTATGTTTGTTTCTACATAACCTTATAGACCGAAAACTGATATAAATTGCTGATGTCATTGTGGTTAATAACTTTTATCGGAAGTTATGTGTAGATATAAAGGGGTTATGATATTAAACTCACCCTTTTGTTTTTTATAGTAGTGTTGCTTGTATAACTTGTAAGCTTTGGCATGGGCTAATAAAATCGTTTTTCCACACAAATAGTCGGAAATCCCCGGAGATACTATACCAGGAGCGTAATTACCAGTTCCATATCCCGAGACACATACCTCATAAGGGTCGTTAAATGTTATCCATGTTTTTACTCGATCACCAAACAATCTAAACGCCACATTAGCGTAGTTCTCATAATGAGGAACTAGTGACGGATTAGGCCAACCTCCCATGTCTTGTAAAGGTTGAGGTAAATCTCCATGATAAAGCGTAACCATAGGTTCGATTCCAAAACTTAGCAATTCGTTTATTATGCTGTTATAGTACTGAACGGCTTCAAGATTAATGTGATTTGAAAAACCAGTCGGCAATAATCTTGACCACGATAATGAAAAACGATAAAAATGCACGCCTAAGTTATTTAGTAATTCTACGTCTTTTTTCCACAGATGATAGGAATCACATGCCTTTTCACCATTTTGTTTGTCTTTTATGAATGTAAGATTTTGGTGTGTTACCGTATCCCAAATGTGCTGTCCTTTGCCTGAAACGATTGATGATTGTCATTTCCCAAATACGTTACCCTAACTTACCACTGATATTCCAACCTCCTTCAATTTGGAAGGCCGATGTCGTAACCCCAAACTTGAAATCGGCGGGAAATGGAAATTCTTGTTCTGATTGGGCTTCCCTAAAACGCATCTTACCGATTATACACAACAGAAATAATATTTTCTTCATATCATAATTCCTATGCATGTCTATCTTCAGGTACTCGAACAGGAAGGTAGGTACCTACTATATGTGCATAGAATGATTGAGTGCAGTAATGTGGATCGTTATTTATCATGTGAAATTATTCTTGAAATAGCTGTTAATAAAAAAATTGGTGTGCTCCATTATACACACATTTCTATTGTTACCGACAATGGTCAAATTTTTTGCATGGAATAGTTTGTGACATAAGCGAGCTGTTAATTTTTTGCTGCTTAGTGGAGATAAGTGCGATAATTCGTAATTGACGAAAACCACAATTGCAGTTTTTTCAACTCTTGGTTAAGTTAGACGACCCATGACCAACACAAGTGTGGTGATGGCAGGATCAGGAGTTTTAGAGTGGCTTTTACATGTAGAGGAAAATGTCCTAATATCGCACAGGTTCCCAATATCGCACCGTTGGTTAATTCCTAAACTGGTAAGGTGAAGGAAATTTTTCTGTAGTTTTAGTTTCGTAGGCAATCCCTACTCAGATGCCACATAACGTATACTTCTCCCGCAAAATTATAGATGACGGTAGTGTTGCCAACGCTGTATTCCGCATCAAAGAGTATCCTCTTTGTTCCACATAATAGAGGTTTTCCCGCGTCCATGAATTCGTATACTTTCACTCAAAACTGGTAAGTGAAATATTACAATGTGGTTGTACCCTCCCTTTAGGAGCTCCACTCTTCAATTTTTATCGCATTAAATTATACTGCAACTATTTGTAAAGGTGTTTTTACCATTCAAACCTCATGTCATGTGTCCTAATATCGCACTGTGCGATATTACGAACCCTTTCAAAAAATAATAAATTTTTGAAAAATGGATAAGATGTTGCCAATGCTACAAATGGGGACACAAAGAATGTGCCCAATCTGATAAGAAAAAAACGTTCATATGCGATTTCTGTTTATTTGGGTAAGGTGTCCTAATTTCGCACACCCAAATGTGCCCTAATATCGCATATGCGGTATTAGGATACCATATTGCATATGCGTTTGACTTTCTAAGCATAAAGACGTACGGAACGGTGCTGCGTGCTTTGTGAGTTAAAGTGCAAACGAAAACGATAACGCGACCGTCAGGTTGCTGTATGGCTATTATCGCAAGTGATAAAGACACTATACACTTGGAAATCAAAGAGTTAAAGCCGGTCGCAGGCCTTCGGGTCTAGCGATTAAAAAATGTATCAACCAGCTTTCATAAACGCTTCAGGTCAGTATTATCACAGATTTAGTATATTTAAATCTGTGGTATTATGATATTAATACACAACAGTTACCACAGCAGCAACTAGCTAATTTGCCCCCATAATACCCACTACAACAAATTGGATATAAAAATAACCTTGCGCAACAATCGGTACCTGTACAACAAACAGGATATGCAACAGCTGTCACCCAACACTCAAACTTCAATATGACCCCCCAAATGCTTCAACCTGCTAAAGTATCACACTATCTACAAGAATACCCACAATTACCAGCTCAAACAGAACCAGAGTGGCATAAAGTTGAATACAAAAAAAGACTGCGATCAAGTCCAGAAGTAAGCAAACCTGCAAAAAAGCAAACGACTTTGTCAGAATATTGGTTGCATAAACCACTTAAAAACCTCAACTACAGATATAAACGAAATTAAAGAAGAAATCCAAGGAAAGAACCACAAAATTGTAAGAATAAATAACATACTAAGAACACAGCACGAAAGAAATACAACAACCAAAATACCCACATCATTCTTCATTGAATTAGAACAAAATGAAAACAACAAAGACGTCTACAATATCCAGTACTTACAATACACAAGTGTTCGATTCGAACAACCATATAAAAAGAGAGATATTCCCCAGTGTACAAAATGTCAAACCTTTGGTCACACAAAAAACTACTGCTATAGGCAACCTAAATGTGTTAAATGTGCAGGCGATCACCTAACGGGGAACTGCACATGGACTGAAAAACGAAAAGATGTTGTCTGCTGCAACTGCAAAGGTAACCACCCCGCAAGCTATAAAGGATGTATTATAAGAAAGCAACTACAACAGAAGCTATATCCTGCTCTTAGAGAAAAAATTATAAAGGGACAACAAAACCATCTACCAAATCCGACACTGAAAGCGCAAGTCACTATCGCACACTTTAATGCTCAGCCCTATATGCAAATGACCAATGCAAATACACAAAACCTATCCCCTAATCAACCTCTAGCA